GGAACAGCTGGTAGTTTCGAACTGCTGACCTTTCGATTTGCAGCCCGATTCGTAACCACTACACAAGAAGTTGGTAGAAGTCTTCAATTTTATCATCACTGACTTTAGTTGTTTTGCGTAAATGTAAATAATTACTTGTATTAACTAATCTTCCTTGAAGGTGTATGGATATTATACTGTCACGATAGTGTTGTACTTTTTGATGAGGAATGCGACACTATTCCTCTTCAATCTGTCATCCTTGGTATAGTTAACAATGTGATTGTCAGATTCAAAATGGCCAATATCACTCCATTTCAGCTCACTAATGCCTAGGATATTGATGTTTATGCATTCCATTTTATTTTTGAGAATTTCCAAGTTTCCTAGATTCACACTTCATACATCCATGTTCTGATTATTAATGGATGTTTACAACTGTTTCTCTTAGAGTTGTGCCCCATCAGCAAATGAAGATCCTGAGGGCTTTACTTCATTCGTGTCATTGCGGTCAACTCTACGTTCTGGAGGCAGCTCTTTCCCAATGGTATTTTGAGTGCCTTTCAATGTGAGGGGCTCATCTTCTGGCTCTATATCTGACAATATTCTGATGCTCTGCATCATGTTTTAATATTCAGTATTGTGGTGCTGACAGTGTTCCATCACTATCAATAAGGTTTTCAATGACTAAATACTCGGAAGTAGTCCATGACTCCTTGTTCCTAGTCAGTCTTCATCTGGAAGCTCAGCTAAAACCTGTCTACCGTGGGTGACCTTGCTGGTATTTAAAATAACCATGTCATAGCTTCCACAATAACAGCACCACACAAGTCACACAAGTCACCACAGTACTACACACTATGTATGGTGGATTCAATCTGTATGCTAGGCAATTAACCTAAGAAACTGTATTATATGAAGAGGCATGTGGCATTAGTATTGGATGTAGACACATTAACAACCTGCAATATGTAGAAGATATCACCTTGTTTGCTAAAAGCACTGTTTTGGTGGTGTTGTTAAGTGCCTTTTAGTTGGTTCCGATGGCAGCGGCTGGTGAGTTGGAACTGCCAACCTTGTGGTTCAAAA